GCCGCTAGCTTGAAAGAGTCTCCCGCACGCCATGCACGAAGGGCTTGCAGGGCACGAAAATGTTTGGCTTCGGTAGTGTCAGCAGGTTTCAGGTTGACCAGACGTTTAACCTCCTCAGCAACTTCAAACACCAAAGATTTCGTTTCGGCCAGACGAGCCCACGGGTCACCACAGGGAAGGGCATCAATAGCGCCGTTCAAAAGCTCTGCAAATAAAGGGTGTCGAACAACCCAGGGAGCCAGACGTTTGGGAGCATCCTGAGGTCTGAAGGTGCTGATCGTGACGACAATCGGGATGTGGTCCGAGACCATATCCACCTTCAGGGCCCCCCGCGCCTCGCAAACAATCGTGAGGTCCGTGATCAGAGCTGAGGGAAGCGTACTGTACATACGGTCTAGCCGAGAAGAGTGGGTCGTGACGCCGTCCCTGACCTCCCTCCTCGTGTCCTCACATTGGTAAAACTCAATCCAAGAGCTACAAAGCCGATGAAATAGAGAGGTATGATTATCATCTCCAGGATACCACCCACTACCGTCCGCTCGAAGTCTCCCATCAGAGGAGAGCGCAAAGTTCCAGTCACCTACCAAGATAGTGAAACAATCCGCGGGGCTGGGAAGTTCACGAAGGATGGATCTAATAGCATTAGCATATACACATGTAAGCTCATTAGTGTTCGGCATGTGGGCGTTGATGATACATAAGTTCCCGAGAGGCCCAGAGAGATAAGACTTGAGAATACGACCATCGATGACGCTGGAGTGAGAGATAGAGGAGAAGAGCTTCGCAAACGCAGGCTGGATGCACGTGATAACACCACCAGTAGCAGTAGAGTCAGGGAACAGAGAGTGACCAATCTCAAAATGCCGAAGTTCTCGCCGAAGCTCGTTTATATCCGCAATCTGTCCGTGGGTTTCCTGGGTGCAAAAGACCGAGAGTTGGTTCGCGAGCTTCAGAACCATCGCAAAGCGCGGGGCAGCCTTCATACTTTTGGTGCGAACAGCGGCAAAGAGGGCGGCAGTATTCCAAGAACCGATCTTCATCTCTGAGGGGGGGAAGAAAGGGCGGGTCCTGACCAAAGAGCTAGGGACCCCCTGAAAGGTCCGAGAAGCGCTGCCAGAGACGCGCTGCCCAGAACATTCCAGGGGAACGGACACAGAGGCCTGATCGGCCGAGGCGACACAGGCAGGGAGGGCATTGACGGAAGGAAGAGGCACAACTTCAGTCCAACGGACGGGAGGATTAGAGGAAATAAATCGCCTAGGAGGAGTGACGATCAGGCTCGCGGCATGGGGACACTCATCTGGAGGTGTCTCTAGCGCCGCACCCTCAGCCTGGGGCCCGTCACCATCCTCTCTAAAAGGGCTGCGATGAATTCAAATGATCCACCCCCTCCTGTAGACGCTGGAGGTGGGGCTCAATAATCGGCTGAAGCTCCGCAAATTGATCAGGAAAAAAGTGGATGGCGACCTGGGGCGGCTCAGACTCATTGTTCACGAGGTCAATGTGGCAGATCTGAGCTGGGTCTTCCGCCGAACGAAGGATATGCACATCTCCACCAAGACCATTGGACCCCATTTCTTTGCCCACCTGTCGCACTACGGGAGCGAGTACACCACGAACCTTACCCATGGCAAGGAAGAGTAGCCGCGTGCCTGGTGCCATGTCCCTCTTGGCGCGGAGGGTGATCATCTGTTGGGGGTAGATCGGGTCGGGGAATTGGACTGGCGCACCTGCCTGGAGCATGTTCAGGAAGTCGGTGGCCTTTGTCGAGTCCGTGAAGTCCAAGGTGATCTTCTTGGTCATGTCGTACGTGCGTACCGTCGGGCGTGGGGAGGACTGAGGAACGCCAGAGGCCAGGATCAGATCAGCGGCGCGCCTCAGCGAGGCCTGCATCATCTTCCGAGGGAAGCCGACCACGATCACACGGTGAGCGCGCTCCATAGCTGAGTGCCTACCATCCTGGCGTGGGCCAGGAGTAGGTGCTCGTCGAGCCGTCGATCCAGACCGCGGGGTAGGTGTACTCTGGAGCTCACACAGAGTCGCGTCGATGCGTTTCAACTTGGTGTCGACCGCCGCCGCGACCGCCTCTTGGATGGAGACTGCCGTGGACGCCTCAAGGGTCTGGAGCTTAAAATTGAGCGATTGGACATTCTTATCCGTGTTCGAGATGGAACTTTGAAGCACCTGCACCTCCTGCGCGAAGTTCTGCTCCATCGCCTCGATGCGGTAATTCGAGGTTCTTATGCCTTCAATCAGCTGCTTCATCCAACTAGGGGCCTTGTCTGGGGCCGTGCTGTCCTCAATCTCAGAATCCCTGCGGCGGCTCCTGGTGCGTGTGCGGTCCGAGTAGCGCTCGCTGGAGTCAGTGCTGGGGCGACGACTGCCAGTAGAGCTCATTGAGTACCGTTCTGGAGACCGCGAGTCATCCTCAGACTTGGGCTCCTTCTTCTTGACTGGCCGCCGAGACTGAGACCTGGCCTCGGACTTGATGGACTTCCTGACTCCAGCGGGCATCGGCGCAACTGGGGTAATTCGAACCGTCGTGCGGGAAAGAAGGACGCGTGCTTTGGCGCACGACTGGAGAAGAATTGTGAGGCCTAACCTCTAGACGCTCGGGCCAACCCCTTGGCAGCGTCCAAGTTCGAAGCGCCGGGGTAGCGTTTCAAACTTGAGCCAAAATGGCTACGGAAAAAAAAAAAAACACACCCCATATTGGTTTGACTTCCTGGGCAAAAGGAACGTGAAACAACATTCCAGCTCGTGATATTGCAGACAGGCGGCTCGGGCTCGACAGTGCGAGGCGCAGGCTGCAGGCGATGGCGGCTCCGGGGCCTCGCCCTCGCAACACCTTCCGCGTCGCGAGCTTCGCGACAGCCGGGTGGGCTAGGAGGGCCGCGCCCCTCCGCCCGCGGCGCCGTCACCTGCACCTGCAACTCCTTCGGCTGGTACGTGAACTCCTCCAGCCGCAGGTCCAGCTCCTCCAGGGGCAGGGACAGCAGCGGCATTTTGTGGCTGGAACTGTTGCAACATGCGGTTGAAAAGGCGACGCCGCGTCGGACCGAACGGCCAGAGCCCTGTTGGCAGCCTGCTGGTTGGCCTGCTTGCAGAGCAGCTCCTCCAACCGATCACGCTCTGACTCCTGCAACGGCTTCTCGATGGCACGCTTCTCGAGGTCACGCAACTCGCCGAAGCGCTCAGCACCCAGATCAGAACCAGCATCAGACATGTCAGCACCTTCCCGATCGAGCGCCGCGCGCAGCTGCTGCGCCGCTTGCAAGAAGTCATGCTGCTGGCCATGCAACTGACACCACGCACGAAATTCAGGCTCGCCCATGGTGACCAGGTTGGGGGGAGGCTGCGGCCTGGCGCCCACGGCGCCCACGGGGCCCCCGCCGCCAGCAGCACGAGCATGCACATGAGCGGCTTGCGGCACTGCTCCTCCGCCTCCAGCATGCTCGGCACGAGGGGCGGCTGCTGAAGGCTCGCGACGACGAGCAACAGCAGCCTCCTCGGCCACGCCCCGCTCCTCCCGCTCGCACTCCTCACGATAGGAGTCGGGAGAAAAACAGCTGCTTGGCCTCTTGAGCAACTCCCGCCCCCTTTTTATGGCACTCAGCAAGGCTTGCCACCGCGGCCGCGTGGGCAGCTTCCGCCTGTTGAGTAACATCTCGGTACTTGACCACGCCCGCCAAGCGGGCTTCCACTTCCGTCTGGCATTGCGTTATACCCGCGCCGCCCTCTCGACGTCCTTGGACAGTTCCGTCTGGCGAGCCGCCACCTTCTTGTCCATCTCGTTGGCACTGGCGGGCTCTGGCGGCGGCGCCGCTTGAGCCCCCGCGGCGGCCGCCTCGGCAATGGCTGCTTGGGGGGTGGCAATCATCGCAGGATGCTGGGCGGCCAGGGCACTGAGCTGCTGCGATGATAATGATGGTGAGGATGAATATGGCGCTGATGATAGATAGTATCGTGCATATAGGTAGCGCTGGGAAATTGGCCAGAGAGAAAGGAGATACAGGGAAGCAAGTAATGGATTAGGGGTGCGGGCGGAGGATGGAGGGTGAGGAGGGATGGGTTGGAAAATGATGGAGGAGCAGGAGGAAGTATAGAATAATGAATAAGGAATGGAAGGAGGAAGAGCCGAGCCGAGTCTCCTCTTCCTCCCTCTCCCTTTACCTTCACCGCCTCCTCCTCCTCCTCCTCCTCCTCCTCCTCCTCCTCCTCCTCCTGGGAGGGGGCAGAAGCACCACGACCCTCGCGCCCCCGAGATTCGAGCATACCTGAACTGGGAAAAGCACCACGGGGGCAATGCCAAATTAGCGGGGTGCCCTTGTCGCCGCGGCCAGACACGCCTCGAGATCCTGGTCAGAGCGAGCGCGCGCCATTACACGTCTGGGGTCTGGGGGGCCCTGACCGCGTCCTTCGATGATCCGCAGAGCGTGTGTCAGCGGCACGTCTCGGGGGCTGCGCCTCCGCGGTCGCAAGGCACCTCGCGCCGGCATTCGTCCGACATACTCGGGAAATAAGCGGCATAATTATGCGCAGCGACAGGAAGTCAGAGGCTGCCAAAGGGAAGGCAGAGCAGTCAGTGGTCGATGTCTTCTGACAGTGTTCGCCCTTCTTGCCCTTAAGGGCGGCTCCCATCGAGATTCTGGCCTGGGACGCACCCCCAGGAAGTCTTGGGGTCTAATCGCAGCTGCCGAACTGGTGCCAAACAAATCACGTCCGTGCTAATACCGACAACGACTTCTCTCAAACATTAAGACGGCAATGGTGTCATGCTCCACTTGGCTCGGGATACGTTCCAAGATTTCCGGCGTATCTAGCGGCCCTCGTCCCCCTGGAGCCCGCGCGGAACACGAGAAAAACAAGAACTCGTTGAGCGTGCAACTATCATGATCCCATGAGGACTGCTCATTCGCACTTTGGCCTGGCCAACAACCCTCAAACTGGCGAGCGCCACGCCCGGGCCCCAGCGCCGCCCAGCCGTGCGAGGCGCGCGCCTGCAAGACGCCCCTCATCATGAAGCTCGCCGGGGATTCGCCAGGGTGCACCCTCGCGGACACGATGATGTGCCGCCTCCCCCCGGCGGCCGCGCGAGGGGGGCCCGCGTCAGGGGCAGGTCTGGGCGCTCTGCTGGGAGGGTGGAGGCACGCACGGCCAGGTTCGGGTGTGGAACATGTGGAGGCCACGTGCTGGACGTACTGGACCCGCAGGCCGCGCGAGGCCGAGCGCCGGCGGGGCATGCGGACACATGGGCAGTGAGCTCTTGCCCAGGCCGGTCACGTCCTGCGCATCCAGCCCTCTGGGTGGACGGGGGGGGGCCAGGAAGGAGAAAGAAGGATAGGCACTCGCCTTCCGCGCGGGCGACCCACCCAGGATTCACAAAATTCACCCGACACTGTCGACCAACATGTTTGGCATTGCACTGGGGAGGCAGCACGCTCGTAAAGTTAGTGCCTTGAACATCAATGCCCTGACACGAGCGTCCGTTGGCCATGGCACCGACATCGAGAGATACGAATGATCAACGTGGCATGCATGCAACGCCCTCCTGTCACTATTGTTATCATGTGCCACTCAACAAGCACAACACATCCGTGCCGGTCGATCTGAATAACAGCTCAGATCACTTCAGCAGCCGAGAGATTCGGGTAAGCTCACCATGGATGGAAGAGGAGAATGGCGCTGGCTAGTAAATAACGCTCAGACTCGCACCATTGTTGAATCTGTTACGAGGGCGCGCCTGGCGTGTCCATCGACTTGCTGCGAAATCGTGGGGAAGTCCGTGACCTCATTTCACATGGTAGCGAGACCAAAGACAGCGCGACGTGCTTGCAAAACTAGGAAGTTATTAGCAAGACAGTGAGGGTACGGTAGCGGTGGGGTGGACAACCGTAGTATTGATCACACATGGCACGTTATTTCCCCTACTACTGATCATACTACGTAACGCAACACACTGGGCGCAATGAGAACAGCACCACCACAACGATGCATAAGCAACTGGCCCACGAGGGGAAATGACCGCACAAGCCTTTCCAGCACATGTCGGCCTGACCATTCTCCTGACACATCCTGCCCCTCCGCATCATCACCCTTTTCGTTCTCGATCGTTCTCAACCTTCTTCCGCCCCTGCACCTCCTCCCTCCTTCTCGCTTCCCTTACGTAGCCTCTCACCATCCCCCTGTCCGTTCCTCTCCTTGCCCCTCCGACTACCTCTTTGTGTTATTCCTGATCCCTCTATTCGTCGAAGTCCTCATCCTCCTCGTCCGCGTTGTCCTTTTTCCCCACATCTCCCCTTTGCCCCCCTCCTCCACCATCCTCCTCCGCCTCACCCCACTCCTCTTCATGCTTTTCCTCATCCTCCTCAACCGCCACCCCTCCTCCTCCTCACCCTCCTCCTCGCCTCCTCTTCCTCGGCCTTTGCCTCCTTCTCTTCCTCCCCCATTGTCCTCTTCGGACTCCTACTCTTCCTCCTCAACACCATTACCATCATCATCAGCATCACCCACAACATCATCAATACCATCACCAGCATCCCGTCCTGTTTCTCCCCCCCTCATCCTTTTCTATTCCGTTGTGTTTGTATCATATTCCTTTATGTTCCTCCTGCCCCTGTACCATCCTTTCTCCATTTTCCCCAAGTCATCACGATCAGCATCCTGATCATCATCAGCATCGTCATCATCATCCACATCAGCATCGTATCCTTCCCGTCCTTGCCCCTGATCCTGCTCTATTTTCTCAGATTCCCTTTGCTGCTCTTCCTCCGTTTCTCCAAGCCCGCGCAAGGAATGGAACTGAAGGGGTGAAGAAAAGGACGCTGGGGAGGGATACGTACGATCATGAGAACAACTGCAAGACGGCAGCGGCGGTTACTAAACTATGTTGCCGACGCCTGCGAACTCCTAAGTCGGACACGTATGCGTTTCTGGTTGGTGCTCACATTTTTTCGGCCACTACAGCTGACCATCCGATTTAAATGTTGCTTCGTTCTTGTGCGGGCGAGCTAGCAAGTGCGCACGCTGCTTGATGCCGGCAGATGCGCACAAACACTGCGCGCACAGTCGACACAGCATCTCTGACGGATCTGCCTACGAAGCTGCAAACGGTGCGACTCGTAGACACACTCACCAGCTATGTGGAGCTGAGCTCGCGGGGAGTCCTCAAAGACAGTACCACCATAATGAACGCATTGGAAACGTGGGGACGTGCGCGAGATAGCGAGGCGATGCTTAGCAGCGGAACCTCCGCAGACGGCGCAGCCCCGCCCACGGTCGCCCAGACAATGCGTGGCGGAGGAGATAGAGAGAGCAACAGCAGAGGGCGGACGGATGCTGGATGATGGCGGCCCTTTCTTCCGGAGATGCAATCGCGAAGGCGGCCCTCGCATCCAGCGGCCCGCGGCGCTGTCCACGACGCGACTTGCCGCGATCATCCACCTGGGGGACTTGCGACGACAGGGCGCCTGCTCGTCCCGATGCGAATGCACGAACGCAGCTGCGACAAATCTCGGGTCTCGGGACTGAAACAACGGCCCGAGCTTGGCCAGGAGATCCGCGCCCTCGCCCGAGGGGTCGCCCCAGCGCCCAGCGGGCCACTCCGACTGCGGCTGGGCGCCAGCGGTGGCCCAGCATGCCAGAGCAAAGGTTCGGAGCTCGCCCATGGGCACTAACTGCCAGGGGCACTGGATAACGCGACTGCCAATCTGACCTCCGGCCCCAGCGGATGAAACATGGCAATCGCAAGTGCGACTCGAAGATTTGTTCTGCCCGTCGCGTCGGGGCCCCCGCCTCCATCAAATAAATGAAGGGTCTGGCGGGGGGCCCGTGGCCCAAGAAACCTGGCGCCGTCGAGTTCGCGCCTGGCGCCTGCAATTGCCCCTCGACCGGCGGCGGCGGCGCTGCGACCCGGCCCGTGGGAATCAGGCCCCCAGGCGAAAGAGCTGGCCCCAATGCCTGTTCATGCGCAACATTCCCCGCGTTCCCAAAACAAGCGCAAGCGCCGTGTCTCTCCGCGTCGGAACGCAGACCCCAAGGCGCGCGCAGCCCTGTTCCCCGAGACCCCCCTCCACCAACGAAGAATATCCAACTACGCGCGCCAGTGGGCGCCCAGAAAGCTGGCGCCCCGCGGGGGGGGCCTCGCTAAGCCCCTTGAGCAGCGCGCGATCAGATCCACAATCAGCCCCCAACTCGAAGCCCCCCAGAGCTATGCTCGCCAGCGGCCCTCCGACGCTTGGCCCCCAGCACATCCTGAAAGCGTGCCAGGGGGCAGCGGTGCGAGTCAAGTACCTTGACCCCGCTATGCACGTGGTCGTCGCATCTCCAACCATATCTGGCAACTGCGCGGCCATCTGGCATCACTCAAGCCGTCGCCTCCGACGTGGGCCACCCAGCCACAACTCGATCAAATGCAAGACGACGGCTGACGCGGGCCCGCGGATTCATTTGGTCTGGCGAGTATTTGGCACAGTTGGTGCCTGACCCGCAATGCTTGTCCAGAGTGCGAGTCAGGCGGCGAGGCGCGCCCCTCGCGCGGGCGCGGCCGCGGGCGCGGCCGACGCGAGACCGAGACGCCGCCGCGCTCGAACTAACCCGCGTCCGAATGGCCCACGGGCGTGGAACTCGTAAGTTCCGACTGATTGGCCCCCCCTGACGTCGCGAATGGGCGGTGGTCCGATGCCGTTTGGCAGACCTCGGAAACTGCCAAAGTTTTGCGCTCGTGCCGTGGGGAGCGGCGCCCCTCTTCCCCCCCGCGATCCCAGCCGGCCTCCGCGCGCGCGAAATGCCGACCCCAGAGAAGGCTGCTTGCACCCGCGGGGCCACTGCGCACCGACCGCCCCCCCACCCGCCCCGCCGCGCCCCCCGCCACCGCCGCCGCCGCGCGCAGCGCGACGCGTCCGCCGAGCGAAGGCCAAGCGTGCAAACAACAAGTGCTCAAGTGGATGCTTTCAACTTGTTCTCCGCAAGGGCCCCGCGAGCGTCGGGGACGCAACGTCGGAAATGGCGGCGCGCCTCTGCCCCGGACTCCGCGACGCGCCGCTGCTCTGGGCAGATTGCCCACCCACGTCCTGCAACTGGCCAAGGGATCAAATGGCACCCGCGTGCGCAATGCAAACAGAATCATACTCTTTCCGGCCCGCGAACCTGACCTCGGCCCCCGCGCGGCGCCCCATCGTCGGCTGGAATGGGCGCCGACGAATGCCCGAGCTGGCTGAGCGCACAGGGGGGGATGCACTTCAGCAGCTCGGGGCGCGAAATTCGCGGCGGGGGCGCCATGCGGCGGGCTCCCCATAATAAGATCGGCCATTGAATCATAGGACGATTGTATATCACCTAACCCATGTTCCACTTGAATCTTGGGATGGAAGCGCGCCCCTTCCTGACTACCTATGACATGTGCCTCCCTGGAGCTGGAGTTGCCTCGCCGGCCGCGCCCGCGCCCTCCTCGGCGGCGCCTGGCCAATCTCCTGCGAACGGCTCCATGATCAGCGGCCTAAATCCCCCATGACCTGGCGCGCCCCGGCGACCGGTCGCACCTCAACTTCTCGGGTAGACGCAAGTCCAAGATGGGAGGGCCGCCCCGATGTTCACCGCCGCGACGCTCGGCAGGGGGTCATCTGTAGCGGCCGTTCGCGCATTGGCAGACATTCGAAATACCTCTTCCTCCACCGCGCGCGTGGGGGACGGCGGATCATGCCCAAACTCTGACGTTGCATCAATCATGCCCCGAGGGTGGAATTTCATACGGCTATTATTTCCCATGCCCATATCAGGCTGAAGTAAAGAGTTGAAAACCTCGTGGAGCTTACCAATTGTCTCTATCGAGCTCGCTGAGCTCGGCCGTGGACTTCTGGATCGCACGCCTCTGACCCTCAATGCTAATCTTCTGCGGCGCTAGCGCGCGCCTGTCCAGCTCAGGTTGCGCGCTCGGCCCGACACTTCGCAAGGCGGATGCCCAACCACTGCATGGAGAGTTTGTCCAACCAAGAGAGCTCCGTGACGCAGGCGTCGATGTGGCAGAAGCAAGCTTGCACATATCTCTGCTGGTGCGCATGCCCATTGCGTGTTGCACGATGCAAGGCCAGCGCGGTCAGCACCGTGCTCAGCTGCGTCCACCACCCACTGTTCATATCCATCAGTGGGGTCACCCTCGACTTGACTGGCAGACGCATTGGCCGATGTCGAAACTGACTGAGGCTAGAAATAACCAGATTGCAGTGGTGGCCCAGGATATAGTGTTCAAGTGGCGCGGCCCAAGACGCGTAAATATACTAAATAAATGAAGCCGCAATGGCCTGTGGCTTCTTGAGCCGAGAGGCTATGGAACCACGCAGAACACTAGCCAGGACTGGACCGAGGCTTGGCAATACTGATAACCAACCACTTGCCGGCTCCCGACCCACGCCTGAGCAGGGATCGTGAAGCTCGGGCCGATGGGGGGGGAGCAGGAGGAAGGATGAGTGAAATGATCAAGAGAAGGACGACAACGGAAGAAGAAACAAAAACGAGCGAACGAGCGGAAACCGAGAGGCAGCAGGATCCAGAAAAAGGGCGAGAGGCGCAAAAACACTTCAGACCCTCCCCGCAACGCCAACACCAAGGAACGCGAAAACTAGGGCCGCCTTGCTGACTTCGCGAGGCGGGTGGCCTCGAACGGGCAGGCCGCGGCGCGACCAGGGAACACGGGGCCTGCGGCAGGCCCGTGCTCGCCTGCACGGGGCCTGCCGACGCGCAGCAGCGGCTCCAGAAGGATTCTGAACCACAGGTGGAGGGGCACTGGGAGGGTA